GGCGTCACTTTCTCCTGAAACGAGACGCCCGCGTTAGCTCAAGCCTTAGCCATGCCGCAGCCTTGTTTTAAAATAAGGCCGACAGCTAAAGGTGTCAAGACGCTGCTGTTAATCCCTTGCGTCCCAGTTTCCGCTCAAAGTGCGTGGCTCGCTGTTTTGCGTTTGTGGCTCGGCCAAGCCCACCGCACGCTGCCTTGCTCTCAAGTGGCTTCAGGGTGGTTTCCCCACCTTTGAAAGTTGGGGTCCCTAATTGTTGTGAGGATTCATTAGTAGCCTGATGCAGGTTCAAGCTGAGCAGCTACCGAGTGGCCTTTTGCATTCCTCTCGGACCTCCTGATTCCATATGAGCTGCCCTGTACCTCTTAAAAGAAAAAAAAAAATCTGTCCAACCTCCCTTGAGTATTAGGGAAGGGATGTGCTGTACCTCACAAGAGTGTATTAAGACCTCTTCCCTATTTTTCTCAAGTATTCTAATTCCCCCTCCTCCCCCTGACAGGATGGAGACGTGATTAAGAAGCCGCCCTCCATGGACATGGCAAGCAAGAAATGCCAGCAGGTGCTGATGGAGCTGGAGGGGGTGCTCCAGCACTTGGAAGTGATGTTCAGTTTGACGCTGGTTCCCCGTGTTCTTATTCTGCTTGGTGGCAATGCTGTGAGCCCCAAGGAGCTTTATGAGCTCAACTTAGAGGGTATCTGTGTGGGCAGCGCTGAGGAGAGCCTGAAAACCCCATTCTGCGTGCGTAAACTTTTTCACTCGCTCTTCATAGCGGATGTCTTCAGTGAACTTAAGGTTCTCCCCATCGTGGGCACTGTCGTTATGCTCCAAGGACACCGCGACTGTGGTGTTGATTGGTTCCGGCCCAAGCTCAACTACAAAGTGCCGACTCGAGGAAGGAAACTAACTGTCAACTTGTCCTCTGATGGAGACGTCAGTATAAGTGCCTCATCTCCTCAGGGTATGACATCGGCCTGGGAGGATTACATATGGTTTCAAGCACCGGTGACGCTCAAGGGATTTCATGAATGACTCGTGCTTTATAGAACTTCAATGGATTATTGAATAACCTTTGGTGCTGCTTTAGGTGATGACTATTTTATCAAATGTAATTGCATATTCTTGTCTCTCTGGATCTTTTCTCCAGGGCATCTGCTATCTTCCTGTAGCTGGACTGTGTTCATCTTTCTATGAAACAGCTGTAAAATTCTTCCCCATGTTGTTATTGAAAACAAATACCTTTTAAGGTACAGTTACTTATCGATACAGGCATTCTTTAGGAACCTGGGCTGTGGCACAGCAGATGGAACTACTGTGCTGGGAGTAAAACTTTCTTGCAGCATGCTTACTGAACTGGCAAATACTGGATATGATCTTCTCTCTCCTGAGTTTTAATGCAGCAGTTCCTCTAGCAATAATTATTACTTTACCAAATTGTCTCAGACTCTAAATAATGCACGTGATTATTAATGCAGTTGGCCTTTCCAGGGCTTAGTAGCCTTTATAGTAAAGGCTATAGCAATTCTTACCTATCCCACTGCTGGGAAAAGAGATCTTTCCCTTTAGTGTGATCAAATTTGAGTACTTAAGTGTTTGATCATCTATTTGATAAAATTAGACTTCCCATAATTCAATGTCAGCTAGTTAATCATCCAAAGAGTAGGACACCTTAGCAATTGGGAGGTTTCTTACCTAGCACTGTGCTGTACTTGTGAAAAAAGGTTAAGCAGTCCTGTGGAGGCAGAAAAGCACATTTTGGTGTCTCTTTACGAACCTTGACTCCAACAGCCCTGACAATCAGTTTGTTAAAATCAAGAGTAAGTAATTTTTGTTCTAACACTCTTCAGAGGAAGTTAGGACTCCTGCCCCATTATGCTGTTTTTTTCTCCTTTAAAAAAAAAAAAAAGGCTCAGTTCTTGCTTACTTTTACCTCTTAGAAATGTTAGAGTCTTAGACTCTAAAGCTTGCTGAGACTCTAAAGCTTGCTGAAATGTGGAGAAGAGATGATGGGGATATGATCAACTTCAACACTGTCTTTAACTGTGAACTTCCTGTTCCAAATTGGAATGCTCTGTATTACCTGGAAGTAGAACTTGAGCCCTTTCTTCTGTACCAGGTCTGGTGTCTAGTGCAGAATGGGACACAGAGAGAAACCCTTAGAGTACGCTGTGTCAAACTAGATATCCACTGGAGTCGTCTTGCATCAGCTGGGTACGTACCTATAATGCAATGAGTTTAGTAGCTCCAAATATCTCTCTCCTGTTTGAAATTGTAGGCTACTGGTAGTGAGGTTGCTTGTAGTTTCTTACTCGCACTAGTGAGGTACTAGAAGATCTGTTGAAAGGAGGCTCTGCACTTATTCCTTTAAAAAAAAAAATTGTCTGACCTTTTGGAATGGAGTAAGATTGTAGAACGGGAAGCAAGGTAGTTAAGTTGACGTTTTTGAGCTTGGAGAATGCCAGGAGTGCTGTCTCTGCCTTACTATCCGTTGGTTAACAAAGATGTGGTGACTGCTAAAGCTAGCTCCAGGAAGAAATTGCTAGAATGAAGAAAGCTGCCTTAGGTGCAGCTGCCCACTTCAGCATGTGATCACAGGTCTCTTGACTGAAATGTGACTTGAACAGGTGGAGTGTTTGATGTGCTCAGGAGATCAAAACCCTTTACTTCCACCACAGCTGCTTGTAATGCATACTTAAGAATGTTAGCACTCAAATATTTAAAGAAGCTTTTGAACAGAAGCCTTCGTTCTGAGGAACAAGGGACCGGTCCCTTTCCCCTCCCTCCCTTAAGTGAGTGCAATGTTATTGCATTAAACTGTTTACATATTCTGTTATACTTGAATTATGAATGCAGCAATGATAGGGTGTTGGGAATGAAAGACGACAAGATGCCTTCTTTTCTTATGAAGAGCTTTAGAGCTTTATTAACAAGTCTAGTAGTTATCAACAAAATAAAATGCTGGTCTCTGTATGTGACTACAGTAGATTTATTTAACCCTTCAAAGTACTGCTTCTGGTGGTTGCAGAGCAACATGCTTTGATTCTCTGTACATATCTGAACTGTAGGTTCACAGTTGTTCCACCTTTCTGACAAAGTGCCTGATGTCTTGTGCCAGAAGCCTTGGTTCCTCGAAGGCAGCAAAATGCCCCCCACGTGGCATGTAAGAGTAAGTGACAATGTTCTTGAAGTTCTTCTTTGCCCAGGTGCGCGGTGTATGTACTATCTCGTGAGGGAAGGCTGCAATCCCTGTGGGAACGTATATGTCGACCCTAAAAGGACATTAGTTAACTGCATTTTTGAAAGACTGTTCCTGGGGGAAGTCTATAAAACTCTTCTGACTCTTGTAACTGCCACAGTGAGTTGAAGTTTCACTACAGCAACTTGTTTTGTGGTCTGTACCCAGCTGAAGTGCTTCACTTGTATTTGGATCTCTCCTTGAGTTTTGTAACAATCCTGATTGTTACAGTCAGATATGTAAAGTAGAGCTGACCTTGTGCACAGAGTTCAATCTTAAATTATTTCAGATTTTTAAGCTTGTCTTGCTTGGTAGCTTTGTGACATGTGACCCTTATCCTTCTGAGAAGAAAGGTAAACTGGCTTGGCCAGTCCACAGAGAACAAGATTCTCTCTTGTTCTTAAGGTCAGTCACTTGAAGAGCAGTTTTGCTCAGCAGTGTGTTTTCTGGTCAGCCTCTGTAGTAGTAATCCTAAAGCTAGTAGCTGTTAGAAGGTGTTTGGTCTCAAGTACTGCTTTTCTAGAAACTTGCTCCTTTAGTAAAATCCCTTCCCAAGTTGCTTCCTTAAGTCCTTGATCAACAGCTGTAGTTCTTAGTTTATCCACCAGTAAGCCATATCCTTCCTAATTCAGTTTAAGCTCCCCAAAAGGATGCTAATGTGTTGGGTTTTTTTTTTCCTTTTTACAGAACTAAGCCCCAGCCTAAATTTGTTCTTCAGGCAAATAATGGTATTGACTTGTATTTTGAACAAAAACGTCTATGAATCTCTCTTAATATGTTCTCTGCGTTGTCTTGGCTGCAAGCCAGCTTATGAGCCTTACAAGTTCACAAGAAAAGTGACCCTTAACTATACTTATCAACAGGAAATAAGAACTTGGATTTTTTTTTTTTTCAAAAAGTAAGTGTTAACTTTGCTGTTGTAAGTGATCTAAATGCTCAGGCAAATGTGGTCCAATCCCCATATCTGTTGCAAATCTATCCTGCACCTGCCACTTAGTTACCTTAAATCAAGGCTACTGGGGAAGTTCTCCTTGTAGAAACGCATTGAGGGCACGATGGATGATGTCACCCAGTAAATCATCACGTTGGTCAAGAGGTCATCTAAAGAGTATTTGCTGTTGAGGGGAAAAAGAAAAAGTTGCACTGAAGGCTGTTTCTCAATGCACAGTAGTGCATTCATGCACTGAAGAACTGTCAGTCCTCTTGTTTTCCACTCATTTTCAAGCAGCAACTTAATTGGCATCTACATGGCTGGAGCAAAACTGCTTGGTACCGAAGCAATAGCTTGCAGACAGTCTATTATAATTTAAAACTAGTACTTGTCATGTGTAGTCTTTCATGCTTAAGAGTCAACTTCAACTGGCAAATTCCTCTTTCTGTATCTTTGTTTTCTATATCCACCTGTTCCTTTAAAGAGTCTTCTCATGAAAGAGCATCTGTTTTCTTACCTTTCCAAGCCTCCATCGTCCATGTGCAGAAATGATTTGTCAGTCCAGGTAGAGAATTTCTCCAAAATATACGCAGCAAGCCCAACAGGGGAGTCATTCAATCCACAACCTAGTTCAGGAGAAAAACAGGACAGCTCTTGCACTTGCATGGCATTGCAGTATTTCATTTGAAACTAAACTGGACTCTTAAGAATTCTTCAGAGTTTTCCATGAGAATTCAGCAGAGAGTTTGTTTCATTAGCCCTGGTGCTACTTTATTCTTGACAAGTTTATCCCAATAGAGTTCAGGCTGTAACTAACAGTACTACAAATTTGGGTAGTTTCCGTGGCGGAGAAGCTAGGAGCTAAGCAAGTCCTGTCAGCTTCCTGGTGATGCATGGCAGAAGCAGCGTGCTGGGGATGTAAAAGCATTACACAATAAAAAAATTTCAGTTGAACTATTTGAGAGCGCTGTCCTGCTTAGGATGGATAACCAGGCCCTTGACTGCTGTTTCATCACCTTTTATTTTTAAGGGTGACAAGTGCTGTGCATCAGTAATATCTTCATGTCATTGGGGAACATTACAGCAAACATAAACCAAGCATGTATGTAGCATATCATCCCTGTGTTCTTACCTAAAAAGCAAGATAGTGATTACCTCAATAGCGATAGAGGTTTATCTTGGGAAAATTCCTGTGAAGTACTCCATGTACTGTAGTTTTACAGTAGACCAAGTACTGTGTAATATCTCCGGTATATTTTAGTGAGACTTCAGCATTGACTGACTTTGTGGAAGGCTATGCGCGACACGATCTCAGTTACTAGTGGACATGGCTAAATCTTTCCCTGCATTGGCAAGCGCAGAGTGATTTACTACAGGGTGTAAGTTAGGTAAAGGCCTTGCCTGATGGTAGGTCAGGCTAAAATGTGCCATCTAGTGCATGACCCACTAGAGATAAGCATTTTCAGGTCTTCTGGGCTGAAAGCTGCCTTTCAACCACTATGTTCAAGGTCCGTGGATTAGACGTTCAGATATAATGGTCTTGTTTGCAGCCTATTAGTCCTTCAGCCTGTACCACATGTTAAGAACTACTATTTATGCTGAGTGAAAAGACAATAATTTTGCTTTAAACCTGCCTGATGGCCATTTAAATGTAGCTAATGTAGCTACTGAAGAGGTAGTAATTTTTTTTTTCTTTTTTCCCCTACTCCTCTACATCTCACAGTTTTAGTGTGTTAGAAAAACCTCTGTGGATGTGGTTTTTTTTGAAGAGTCCTAGACTATGTACTGTCCTTGTATGGAAGGAAGCTGCCTGGTGACTTCAGTCTTCCTTTTCTTCTGTGTCTGTGTTCTTCCAGTTCTAAAATATACCTTTGAAACAGGGTGAATAGAGAGACAACAGGTTTTTGTTTATCATGGATTTAGTGTTTTGTCTTTCTCTTTTCATTTAGTTAAAAAGTTTGTAAGATTCTTAAACTTTGACTGAGCTGGCTGATATTTTCAAAGAACTATCCATAGTGACTCAGGGGTTACCAAACTAGGGACCATAGTGATTTTTTTTTCCTCCTGTTTAAATTGCTTTGCACTTTGTTGACATCAATTTTTATTGGCCGTTCTAATCAACCAGTCACTTCTAATCAACCAACTTTTGCAACTTTGCAGTTAGCTTTAGATTAAACCAAATCCTGGATAGCTGACAGGTTTTCCCTTAATAGTTAACTTTTTGTTCTAGAGAAATTAAGATTGTGTTGAATTGCACAGGTCCCAGCACAGATTTTTGTGGTACTCTCCCTCCACTGAAGCCTGAGCACGTATTCCTATGCCTAGATTCTTATGTTGACTATTCATTAATGCATGAGCTGAATCCTTTTCTTAGGGCAATTTTATTTCTTTATGAACATTTGCGGAGGCACCTCAACAAAAATTGCTTGGAAATCCAAATGTGTTACATTACTGCTCTTTGATTCTGCCAGAATTCTGATTTGTGAAACATGATTTATTTCTACAAAACCGTGCTGGCTCTTCCCTATGACATTATTATCACCTGTGAATCAGCTGTTTATTCTTTAGAATAGTTCTGCCAGTTTGCTTACCACAGAGACTGGACAAACTGGTTTGTATTTTTTCCAGGACTGCCTCCCCTGCGCTGCTCAGCTCTTAAACTGGCATCTTATTTGCCTCCTTTTATTCCTTTGGTATTGAGATGAGGTCAAGCAACAGACTGGTCATCAGTTAACGCTTCAGTTTGAGTTATTTTTGAGCTTTTCAATGACTTCCCAGGATGAGGTGCTATTCATTCTAAGGTCTCCACTAGTGACACTTCAGTCTGAGACAGCTCTGCTATCCTGTCTGATAAGGGATTATTTCAGTAAAATAATTCCCCTAAACCTTTACTAGTGGGGACTGATACAAACAATTGGTTAACTAGTCTGAGATGGCCATATCTTTCTTCAGACCCCTTTTCTATTGACCCCACTAACTCTGTCAGGCCTCCTGCTTTTGAAGTGTTAGGGCTGAGTCTGCCTTTCTGCAGTTTCACGTTGCACTTGTTTATGATCTTTTTCTCGTTTTCACCCACTTTTATTTCTAGAAGCTTCAGTTTCAAGATACATGCTTCCCTTTAAGTGGCTTTTTGATGAGAGGTTCTTCTGCCCAAGAGAGCTTGCATGCCATTTTAAGGAGTCTGAAAAGTGACATTTTCAGAGTCTCCATCTCAGGTTCATTACCTGCAGTGTCTGGTTTGGTGGCTTGGATGTGTAAGTATCCAGATTCCCGCAAAAGGTTGTATATGTTCTTCTGGAGAAAAGGGTACATGCGTCGAACATCCTCTTTAGTTAAACCCACGAGCCATGGTACGTAAGACCCAAGCATCACAGAGATCATCCTTCCCAAACCTCGTGTGCTGATGAAGATGAGATTCAGATGAAGCCCTTTCACAGACCTAAAATCAAGTTCATGGATAGAAAGTTAAAAAATTAAGAGTTTGTCTCCACAGTCTCTAGAAAATAAGTCTAACTGGAGCTGTAATAGAAGCATTTTGCTGAGCCAAATACATTAAAAAAAGTTCATCATGTTTTGTTATTAAAAAAATAGGAGGAGCTAGAAATGGTACTGTTGGTGCCAGCTCCATCCAGCTGTGCCATTT